CACCCTCTGAGCTGGCTCTGCTCTGCTAGGCCCTGGACCCCGCCGCCATTTCGCGTCGCCTCAAGGAAAGGCTTACCGGCCCCCCAGCCCCGATGGCTTCTCCTCAGCAGGTTCCGTCGTCTCCCTCACAGCTTTTGGGCACCCAGCCGCTCCCTTCGCCGCCGCCGGAGGAGGAGGAGAAAGCGTTGTGTTTGTTTGGGAGCCCTTTTCCCTCCTGGGCCGGGCCCAGTCCGTCACCTGACGGGAGCAACGCCCTCCTCGGCCTTTCCAGAAAATGGCGGCGGCTTAGGCCTCTACAGGGCCTCAGAACGACGGAGCCTTATGAGGGGAGTTTTGAGGCGTTAGGAGCGCCCAGTTTGCTCTCCTCAGGCCTTGGCCTCCTACAGTTCTCCCTGTCTTTCTTTGGTTGGCATGGCACGACTTTCTGGACCTATTTGGACCCATGTTCCCCTCAGCCAGCGTGGTCAGGGATGATGGGAGTTGTATTCCACAACGTGCCCGGGTGACTAGATGTCCTCACCGCCAAGGAGGACAAGACACCGCAAAATGGAATATATATAACATATATATTCCAAGCAAACAAATGATTCAAAACATACATTCAACACAGAAAAAGAGAAAAAAACACACACCAAAAAACACCTAATCAACTAAAACAATTGACAGACAATTAAACTAACATTAACAACCATTAACCGTTCCCATTCATACGCGACTTCCCCTTGCTAACCCTTAAGCTGTTACACTGTAGCAATAAATCAAGCTTATCTTATATTCTGAACATAAAATATGACTACTCTCCATTCTAACCTTATTTGAAGTTTCTTTCTAACTAAATCCATTAAAAGAATTTTCCAATTTCCATGTTTTATATATCTCAAAATCTATCTTAAATTTCCCATTACTCCGCCCCTATAGTCAAGCTTATTATATTTCCCCAGTATTGCTGGAAATAATCGATTTAGGGGCTCCAATCTTCTAGATATTCATTTGTTGTCGTATATTTCACATATCTACTCAGCTTGTCTATCGCCATTAAGTTCAAGAGCTTAAAAGTCCATGCATCAATTGATGGAGACTCTTCTTTTTTCCACATTTGAGCATAGACCATTCTTGCTGCTGACAACATATAAAACAAGATTTTCTCATTATTCCCCCTAAATTAACATTTAACATATTCAGCAGAAAAATCTCTGGTTTTAACTCAATATTTTCTTTTATAACCTTCTTAATTTCATAATGTATTTGTTTCCAATATTTTACTGCTTTATCGCATGTCCATCACATGTGGTAAAGAGTACCTTTTTGTTTCCCGGATTTCCAACATTTACTATTATAATTTCTATACAATTTACATAGTTTTTCTGGTCTAAGATACCATCTAAAGTACATTTTGTAGTAGCTTTCTTTTATGCTCTGACAATATATATATTTTTTCATGTATATTCCACCTGGTCGAGGTCTAAAATGTATCCAAAATTTTGGGACCGTTTACCAGTAATCATATTTTCCTTTATGGTCTCCTCTTCCATGAATATATTCACAATACATTTATATAACCTCAACAGTGGACGTTCTCTATTTGACATTATCTCCGTCTCAAGATCAGTTCCATTATTCCCTATTCCCTCTTGTTTTCTGTTTATAATAAATCTCTCCTTCAGCTGTCTATATAAAAACCAGCTGCAGTTAATTCCTTGATCTCTCAAATTTTCCAGAGTTTTAAAATTATTTTCCTTCTTAGTGACATCCAACAGATCTTTATATCTTAACTAGTTTTCGTTTATCATCTGACTAGTTCTGTACAATGCTTCATGTGGGGAGGCCCACAATGGAATCTTTGAATAAATTCTCTTTATATTTGTTCTCTGTTCTCTGTCCTTTACTTTACTTTTCCTTGTCACTATGTTCCTGAAGTTCTTCTTCCTCTGACAATATTCCCTCTCCTTCTTCTTTTTCACTCTCTTGAGATATGTCCTCTGTCCTTCCAGTCTTGTTAGATTGTAAATTTTCTTGTTTTTCTATGTCTTCAAAATGTTGTTATTGCCTTTTGTTGCTCTTTTCATAATTATCATTACTTTTGTCTTTATTTTTGGGTTCTTTTCCGTGTACTATGTTCTTTCCATTCTTTTTCAAAAAGGCTTTAGGTTTTAGTATCGTATTTAGCTTGTACCATTTTTGGTTCCATTTAACTGATAAGCCTTCCAGTTTTTCCCACCTGTACAAGACTTTATGCCTATTCAATAATGTTGTAATAAATTTATAATTTTCTCTCTTTTTTAATATCCTTTTTGGAATATCATTAAAATTTTTGATCTCTTTGCCTTCAATTATTAAGCTTTTTTGATAACTGTAAAACAAAATTTTGTCCCTAATTTTTTTCTGAACAAAGTAAATGACCACATCTCTTGGGAGATTTTTTTCCCTTTGCTATTTGTGAGTTGATTTGGAAAGTCTTGTTTATTTCTTTACAAAAATCTTCACAGGGTGTTTCAATATATTCTGCCAAGGCTGGAATCAAATATTCATACAGATTTTCATATTTTTGATCTTTTAAACCCCCAATTTTCAAACAGTTCTCTCTTTGTTTTTGAGTTGCTCTATTGCTCTCATATATAGTTTTTCCCCCCTGTTGTTGCTTTATAAGATTTGTCAATTTTTCCAACGATTGTGTTCTTTCCACTAAACTATCTATTCTTGATAATGCTTGATTAATTGCTTTAATAACTTCTTCTAGGGAGTGTTTAATGCCTTTTAATTCTGATTTCAAATCTGATTTTATATCCTGTTTCAAATCTCTTATTAAATCTTTCATCTCCTGCTTCAGATTTGAGCACATTTATGTGAGCATAAACTTTTAAAAGCAAAAAACAAAGCACCTTCATTTATATACCGATTCATACCGCACTATGCAGTGTCTAAGCGGTTTACAACTGTAAGCTCATTGCCCCCCAACAGCTGGGTACTCATTTTAGTGACCTTGGAAGGATGCAGGCCTGAGTCAGTCCTGAGCCCTGGCTAGTATTGAACTCGCAACCTTGTAGTTTATGAGTGAGTGGCTGCAGTACAGGCATTTAACCACTGCGCCACCAGGGTTCAATTTATTTGTAATTGTTTCCCGTTATTATCACTAATTTTATGAACCTTATAAGTGGTAGTTTGTAGGTGAGGCACTGAATAAGGTAGTACTTGTCATGGAGTTGGAGTGAGGAGGGGGAAAAGGAGGATTCA